CCTCATTATCCTCCTCTTTCTCCTCTTCCTCCTCCTCCTCCTCTTCTTCTTCTTCTTCTTATTCTTCTTTTTCTTCTTCTTCTGTTTCTTCTTATTATTATTATTCTTCTTCGTCTTCTTCTTCTTCTTCTTCTTCTTCTTCTTCTTATTATTATTATTATTATTATTATTCTTGTTATTCTTATTCGTATTATTCTTCTTCTTATTCTTCTTCTTATTCTTCTTCTTCTTATGATTATTCGTCTTCTTCTTCTTATTCCTCCTCTTTCTCCTCCTCCTCCTCCTCCTCCTTTTCCTCCTCCAACCCCGTCCCCTCTCCTCGTCCTCCCCTTTCTCGTCCTCCTCTTCCTCCTCCTCCTCCTCCTCCTCCTCCTCCTCCTCCGCCTCCGCCTCTTCGTTTTCGTCTTTGTATTCGTCTTCGTCGTCGTCTTCTTCTTCTTCTTCTTCTTCTTCTCCTCCTCCTCCTCCTCCTTCTGCTCCTGCTCCTGCTCCTGCTCCTTTTCCTCCTCCTCCTCCTCCTCCTCCTCCTCCTTCTGCTCCCCCTCCCTGTTCCTCCTCGTGCTCCTGCTCCTCCTCCTCCTCCTCCTCCCCTTCCCTCCTGCTCCTCCTGCTCCCTCCTCCTCCTCCCTCCTCCTCCTCATCCTCCTCCTCCTTTTTCCTCCTCCTCCTCCTTTTTCTCCTCCTTTTTCTCCTCCTCCTCCTCCTCCTCCTCTTCTTCTTCTTCTTCTTCTTCTTCTTCCTCCTCCTCCTCCTCTCCTCCTTCCTCCTCCTCCTCCTCCTCCTCCTCCTCCTCCTCCTCCTCTTCCTTCTCCTTCTCCCCCCTCCTCTCATCCGTCCTCCCTTTCCTCCTTTTCCTCCTCCTCCTCCTCCGCTCTTCCTCCTCCTCCTCCTCCTCCTCCTCTCCTCCTCCTCCTCCTCCTCTCCTCCCCCCCTCCTCCTCCTCCTCCTCCTCCTCCTCCTCCTCCTCCTCCTCCTCCTCCTCCTCCTCCTCCTCCTCCTCCTCCTCCTCCTCCCCGCCGCGGCCGCGCCTGCGAAGGGCGCGTGGACTGCGGGCCTGGCCAGCGGCGCCAGCTGGCCTGGCCCGGCCCCGCGGGCCCGCCGCCAGCCCGTCCCGCCGAGGCGCGGGGGGCACTCGGGAGGCAACTGCTGGGATCTATTCGTTGAGCAGGGACCGACCGTGCCGGCATTCCTGTAGTCCTACCACGAAATGCTCTTAGAACCCGAACATGTTCGAATAACAAAAATAAATAATGCTAGCGGAGCTCCCCACATAAAGAGATTAACGGTTTCGTGGGACCCATTTTCTTGATGCCCTCCTCGATTTGGCGGGGTCCCGCTGGAAGGGGGGAGGGCTACGAAACCTGGAGGGGTGGGAGGGGCACGAAACCATGTAAATAGTATGGTTTTCGGATACCCTCCTCGCTCAGGCGGGGCCTCCCTGGAGGGGTGGGAGGGGCACGAAACCATGTAAATAATATGGTTTTCCGATACCCTCCTCGCTCAGGCGGGGCCTCCCTGGAGAGGTGGGAGGGGCACGAAACCAGGTAAATAGTATGGTTTTCGGATACCCTCCTCGCTCAGGCGGGGACTCCCTGCACGGGTGGGAGGAGCACGAAACCATGTAAATAGTATGGTTTTCGGATACCCTCCTCGCTCAGGCGGGGCCTCCCTGGAGAGGTGGGGGGGGCACGAAACCATGTAAATAGTATGGTTTTCGGATACCCTCCTCGCTCAGGCGGGGCCTCCCTGGAGGGTGGGAGGGGCACGAAACCATGTAAATAGTATGGTTTTCGGATACCCTCCTCGCTCAGGCGGGGCCTCCCTGGAGGGTGGGAGGGGCACGAAACCATGTAAATAGTATGGTTTTCCGATACCCTCCTCGCTCAGGCGGGGCCTCCCTGGAGGGGTGGGAGGGGCACGAAACCATGTAAGTAGTATGGTTTTCGGTATGGAGTGGTATGGAATGGTATGGTAGGTATGGTATGGTACGGTATGGTATGATATGGTATGGTATGGTACTGGAGGTATGGTATGGTATGGTACGGTGTGGCATTGGTGTGATATGGTATGGTATGCTATGGTACGCCATGGTATGGTATGGTACGGTATGGTACGTATGGTGTGGTATGGTATGGTATGGTATGGTATGGTATGTGTGGTAGGAACTATGGTATGGTATGGTGTATGTGGTAGGAATAATATTGTGCTGTATGGAAGATGGAGCGGGAGGTGGGTGGGAAGGAAAGGGTGTTCTGGGAAAGCAAGAACCCCACTCAGGATGTGGGGAACAAAAACAAGGTTCGTAGAACATGAACCCGACGTGCTAAAACAAGGCAGACTCCGCCAGAAATGTTCTAAGAACATTTAGTGGAAGCCACACAAGGTTCTTAGAACATTCTTTGGTCGGGCTATAGGCGAGCCAGGACGCTTCGCCGCTGCTTGATATTCGTCGGGGGGACTCAGGAGGATTAAACCCCATTGGGGGGCTGTTACGCCGACTTAGGCCGCGGAACAAACGGGATCAAGCCGGATGAGACGGGACTCGAACTGGGATGAGCGGTCGGGTTGAGCCGGATTTCGGACAAGGGCAAAGTCAAAATTTGACCTCCCAGGAGATGCATCGAAAGGGAAGCGCGTGGGAGATGATGGGATCAGGCGGCGAGCCCAGTGGGACTCGGGCGAGTCGATGGCTGCTGGGGCTGGGGTCCGGATGTCGCCGCCTGTCCGATCGATCCGATTTCCGGCGTCGATTCTGGCTGACCCGATCCGACCCAGTTCCGATGTTCGGGCGGTCCTGTTGTTTAGCGAGCGAAGAGCGGTATACAATAAACTTGTCCATCACCGGGGGCGCTGCCCCAGGGCGGCCGGGAAGTTCATACCTCGACGTGCCGCAGTAAGGGTATAGACTTCCCAGCCGCCCTGGGGCAGGGCGCCCCCGACAGCGAACAAGTTTTTATCTGATACCGTTCTTCGCCAGCCGCTGTGCATCCTGGCGCGCCAGACCCGATTCGATCTCGCCTCCGCGCCAATGCCGCCGGATGCGGCACACTCCGATGCGGCCCGGTTTTCGGCGGCAGGGCCCGGGGGGGAAGTCCGATGGGGGTAGGAGGAGGAGGAGGCTACTGAGGCTACTGATGACGCCGCCCTGTCAAAGGGCGCTGGCACGCAGGCCACGCGACTCGGGCCTACGCCGAAACGCACTAGCCGAGCCCAATGGCCCAGCGAGAAGTTACTGGCAGGCTGCCCGCTGCGACTCCTGCCGACAGGCAGGAGCATGGCAGGTAGCCCGCGCCACCGCACGAGCCGCGGCCCGGCGGGAGACCAAGATTTTCGAGCAACGCCCAGCGGCGGCGACCCGCCACGAGCGGAAAACCGACCCGGAGGCCAAAACGAGGCGAACCCAGCAAGGGCGACGAGAGGCCAACGCCACCACCCCCACGGGACAACGCCCCAAGAAAAACACACAGCCTCGATCGCAGGCCAGCCTCACTCGGGAAAGAGGTTCTCGTCGACCCAGGCCTGACCGAACCGCTTCACGGCGAGCTGGCGCAGCTCGCGGTTGGAGAGGCTGTCAGGCAAAAAGCCCGCCGTCGCCGTAACGCCGGGTTCCGGCTGCTGAACCATTTCGATGCCCTTCTCCTCCTTGGGGAACTCGGCCAAATCCGGAGCAACCGTCGCAGCCGAATCCGCTCCCAGCTTGCCCTGCTGCTCCTTCTTGACCTCCTGCTGCTTGAACTTCTCATCGGCCTCGGGCGGCAGCCCCAAGCCTGGCTGGCACCACCAGGTCGATGCCCACCTCGAGCCCCTCGCCGCCGACAGCCGCCTGCGTCACCTCCACGATCTTCTCAGACTCCTCGAACTCCTGTTGCGTGACCTCCACGCCCAGGCCATGCCAGCTGGCCCAGCCGTCTGTCACACGGCTCTCGTCCTCGTCGTCGCCGTCCCCGGCCAAGTCGAAGAACTGCGGCTCGCCACAGGCCGTAACCGCGCCAGCTGCGCCTGCACCGAAGCCGCCCACCAGGAGCTTGGACAGCTCCGCCGCGGAGATGATGCCGATGGCCTCGATCAGCTGCGGCTGCGCTTCCTGCTCTTGCCCCGGTGCTTGTCCTTCTTGCTCTTCTTGTCCTTTTTGACCTTCGTGTCCTTCTTGCCCTCGTAGGCGTCCCGCGGGTAGCCCTGCTCCAACTTCGTCGGCCGGGGCCCCCTGCCCACGTGCTCCTTCTCCAGCTCCAGCTTGTAGGCCTCGAGCGCCCGCTCGAAACCCTGCCGCGCCTTGCTCTTCGGGGCGCACTGCGCAACCTCCAGCTGCACTCCATGAGAAAGGCTGTGCCCCGTCTTCGTCATCGGCTGGGCAGGCGTGACCACCCAGACGCCAGGCGGCGGCTCCAAGGGCCCGCCCTGGAGGAGGAGGAGGAGGAGGAGGAGGAGGAGGAGGAGGAGGAGGAGGAGGAGGAGGAGGAGCAGGCTCGGAGGCCCCCGACCTTCCGAGGAAGAGTTTCTAGGCCTTCTCCGAAGGCACTGTAGCTCAGGTCGGGCATGTCCTCCTACAGGCGGCTTTCGAAAGAGAAAATAGCGATAGTCAAAACAGGCACAGACATAGTCCGCCGACCCCTTGTGGGTCTCTAGGCGTGCGAGATTGCCCCCCCCCATAACCCCACCAGGGGACCCAAAGCGGAGATTTCCCCCCCCCCGGCCCTGGACGAACGCGCCATGGGAGCATAGAGGGCCCCCAAACGGGCTAAGGGGGGTCCAAGTGGGCCCCAAGACGATCCAAGAGGACCCCGAAGCGTCGAATGATTGTTCCAAAACGCGCACGATGGCATCCAGACGGCTCAGGATGCCCCCAATACGCCCCGAGGGGAATTCAAGAGGCCTCTTAAAAAACACCGAAGAAGTGAACATTGCCCCATTCCCTTAGGAAAACGAAAGGCCCCCCTAGGACAGCTCCAAGGCGGCCCACAAGGGTCCCAAGACCGCCAAAGAAACCCCGATGACGGCCCCAGAGGGCCCCCGGACGGCGCCGAAAGGGGGGCCCACGGAAGGAACCCGAACCCACATTTCCAGCCTTCGGCCCCAGGACGCCCCCAGGTTGCCTCAAGAAACCCCCAACCTGCCCCGAGAAGCTCCTAGGGTGCCCGAACAGAGCCCCCAAACGCCTCGTGGAATGCAATCCTGGACGCGCAGTAGTTTATAGAGGGGTCGGCGCGGATGTGGCGTAAGCCTATAGATATCAAACATAGTAGCACAATCGCCCCCGTGCTATTTTTTGGGGTTATGTTTGAACATCCCTCGTGTAGAGGGGCATGCCCGACGGGAACACTGGCGACTGCTCAGAAGGCAGGAGGGCTTCTTGAGAAGCCTCGCCGCCCCTCTCCCCCCCCCCCCAGGACTGAGGCGAGTGACGAGGTGATGGGGGGGCACTTTGGATTCTCTCACATCATCCAGCGCGTGCGCGAAAAAACCGTGGCGTGGTGCACGGAGGGCAAGCGTGTTCGTTCTGCTCACGTGTCCGAGCATATCTGATGGCCGTTTTTTTTTTTTTTTTTTTGCAGGGCTGTGGCGCCGCACGCAAGGAACCGCATGCCAGGAGAGAGAGAGAGAGAGAGAGAGAGAGAGAGAGACAGAGAGAGCAAGAGAGAGAGAGAGGTATTAGCGCCGTGGTCTTCGACGGCGGCTTTCCACGTCCTCGGGGCGGGGCTCTCAAGAGAAAGAACTCCGCGCAGCGCGCGAGCATCTCATGCAGGATATTGACCGTAGTGATGCTCGCTGGCGACCCTGCGCGTGCTCAGGGCAGCAGGAGGAAGGAGAAAAGGAAACGGGAGGCGGAAGTTGAGGCGAACCCCTGAGTGCTGAGTGCTCTGCCTGCCCTGGCCTCTGCCCCCTCCTGTACATTCCTCCCTCCGCCCCCCTCCTCCCTCCGCCTGTCCAGTGCCCGTGCCTTCCTGCGCTGCTCTCTGAATGACCCACCTCGCGGCATTCCGGCCGAAGGCCCGCCTGAGTGCTTAATCCGACTGCATCGAGTGACGGACGTCGCCCCAGCATTAACAAAACATTCATCATCAGTGCCAGGCTTCGGCAGAGAGGCACTGGCGCAGGCGCGCGATGTCGTGACCCAGCGCGGAGAAGCATAAATCTGGGCGGGCACTGCATCATCGACTCCGAATGCTGGGGAGGCTAGCGATGTATCCATCGAAAAAGTAACCTCATAGAAGCCTGCGAAGCATGCGCTTCCAAGCGTCGATGCAGTGCGCCACATGTCAAATTCCTCACATGTGGATTTCTGAAAAAAATCCCAGGTAACGTGAGGAACCAGCATCTGCCAATCCTGGCCAGTGCCGGGAGTGAGCACGAAAGCGGCGGCGGAGAGGCTGGTGTGAACCCTCCAGGCTGGCAGCGGGGGGCGTATTCAGAATGCACCAGGGCCAGCGGGAGGCTGGAATCCCTCGCTTTTCTCCGCGTGCTCGTTCGCAGGTTTGATGATGAAGCGTGGCAAGACTCGCTCCTTGGTGAAACGCTCTTTGCTGAAACCATGCCATGGTTTAGCGCGGACCAGCAGAAACCTGGGCGGGCACTAGCCCATTCCAAGCGCCGGGGAAGCTGGCGATGTACCAGACGTCAAAAAAACAAAACCTTCGGGCAGGAACGCGAGCATGAGCTTCTGCGTCGACATATGCAATGTGTCACCTGCAACAAAGCCCGCGACGAAGTAACTACTGTAACGCCGTTTCGTCGCGATTTGCCGATTGCTGCCTCGAACTCTTCTGGAACTAAACACGCGCCCAACCCACGATACCGAGAGGGCGCGAGGAACCAACACACGCTCACCGCGGGCAGCGACGGGAGTGAACACGTAAGTGGCGGCGGGGAGGCCTCTGCCAACCCTCCAGGCTGGCAGCCGGGGGCGTATTCGCAGTGCCCCTGTGGCTGCGGGGAGGTTGGCGCCAACCCTCAAGGCTAGCATCCCTCGCTTCTCCCCGCACGCACGGCCGCATGTTTGATGATGAAACGTGGCAAGACTCGCTGCTTGATGAGACGCTCCTAACTTGCTGAAACACGATGCCATCCGTCCACTCGTCCAAGAATCGTTTCCGCTAAGACCCCTTCTCGTCATGCTCATCTAACGGCTCCCTGCCGGGTAGTACGACCGGCCACGCGACCTCAGAGTGGCCCCGAGTGTTGCTGAGGTCGGGATCCACCAGAAGGAGGGGTGACCCTGAAGAGGGGGGGCATGCGTTCAATCCGTTGGTGCACCGAACTGCCGCAAACAGAAGCACCCCGTATGCCCCACCTATCGGCAACTATCGGGAGCTGGCGGCGGCTGGGGGCATTTATTTTGGGCGCTTCGGTGCAAAAACCGATCGAACACACACACTTATACTTACACTTACACTTACACTGACACTTACTCTTACACTTACACACACACACTTACACACACTTACACACACACTTACACACACACACACTCACACACACACACTTACACACACTTACGCACATACTTACACACACACACACTTACACACACACTTACACACACTTACACATACACACACACACACACACTTACACACACACACACTTACACACACACACACTTACACACTTACACACACACACACACTTACGCACACACACACACACTTACACACACACTCACACACTTACACACAAACACACACACACTGGCACACACACGCACACACTTACACACACACACACACTTACACACACGTACACACACTTACACACACTTACACACAATTACACACACTTACACACACTTATACACGCACTTGCACACACTTACACGCACACACACACACACTCACACACACACACCTAAACACACACACTTACACACACACACACACTTACACACACACACACACACTTACACACACTTACACACACACACCTATACACACTTACGCACACACTTACACACACTTACACACACTTACAAACACACACACTTACACTGACACGCTTACACTTACACACACTTACACACATTTACACACACTTACACACAAACTCCCCGGGGCACATCCCTCCTTCGCGGATCCCGATGAAGGCGACCCTGGCGGCGAGGACGGCGGCGCCGCGTGCCAGCGCACCTCACGGCGCAACTCCCTGGAGACCGCGCCCGCCCAGCTGCTGGGGCTGCCAGCGGCGCCGTCGCCTCCGGCGCCTCCTGCCAGAGCCGTCGCGGCCGTCGCCAGACCGAGGCAGTCCTCCTCGGGGACCAGGCCGCGCTGCCTCACGCCAAACTCCCAGGGCGAGCGCACCGTCTGCTGGGCGGCGGCGGCCTTCTGCTCTCAGTACGCCTCGGACCGGAGACGCCTGAGGGCACCTCTCCCCCTTGTGTTCCGGCTCGCGCGCGCCGGCATCCCCCCGTCTCCGAGGGGCGCCGTCTCGCGGAGCGTCGCTTCGAGTAGCGCCGGCTCGTCGCCGTCCTTCGGCGAGGCGGTGGCGCCCCCAGTCTCCATGCACTCGTCAGCATCCTGGTCGTCGCCGAAGGCGCGCAGCTCTGCCGTGGGGCATCGCGTGGGGGCCGAGCTGAGCCCGTCCGACTCGGGGCGAACCGCCTCACACTTCCCTTGGTCGGCGAGAGCTGCCTCACCCTCTTGAGACATCACGAGCGGGCTGAGCATGCTGGTGGGGTGCTGGCCAGCTGGCAACAATACAGTGCCAGCGTGGCAGAAACGATGGCCCAAACGATGCCCGCCAGCTTGGCAGAAGCGATGCATGGCCAGCTCGGCAACAACACAGTGCCGGCTCGAGCAGAACGCTGCTGCGGATCCTCTGGGCGTGCGTCAGGCAAGCAGTGCCGCAATGACTTCGACGTGCGCGCACGGGGGGGCGCGCGCACGTGGCCCGCGCGGGTACTCTGTGACGGGCCGGTCGGGTGCCTCTCTGGCAGGAGCGGCGACGACGGCGCTGCTGTTTTTCTTTCCCGATGTGTCTACGAACCGTGCGCGCGAAAAACCTCAGGAACTTCCGCCAGCCCTGGGGGTGTAGGTGGAATGAGGAGTTCGACCTGGCGACCTTCTTCCCCTTCGGGGAGGCTTCAGGGAGAAATTGACCTCTCCACCTACGTACCCCCTCTCCCTGGATCTGGAGGGGGAGTTTCGCGGGTCGTTGGAGCATCCAACATGGCCCCAGGAGAGCCCCGTACAGCCCAAGATGGCCTCCAAGATCGCACAATATGGCAAGACATGGCTCAATCAGCACACCTACGACCCCAAAACGGCTCCACGTGGCCACATAACCTCCTAAAAACCTTCCCAAGAGGC